ATGATATAAGAACAAACACCTCAGTAAAAATCGTAAGTATATTGATGGGAATAAAACTGGAAAGTTTGGTGTAACTAAAGTGAAACGAAATATTTCTGGCTCAGTGCATGAGAAAAAAGTAATATTGAGAAAACAACATTTAAAAATATGTATTGCAATTGAAATCTACAAACACAAATAGATAAAGTATAATAAATTCGATTTTTTTTTAATGAACGATGTATTTAGGATGTTTCCTTACCATTAGTTCTTTCCAAAAAAGAAAGAGCTATGAAAGCAAAATAGCTTTGACTAAAAAAAAAATTTGACTAGTGCATGAAAAAACAATAGGTGTGCCTATAGTATCCTGCCTTAAATATCTAAATATTATAAATGAAGATTGGAAAAAAATGAAAAATGAGTTCATCTGTCTCTGCTGCAGAGATATGCAGCTATGAAGGCAGTTTTGTAGGGCTGCCCATCTGAGGATGTCCGGCTCTGACAGCCGGTATTTGGATGGAGCACTTCCAGGGCTTTACCTTTGACCTCTGGGTGGCTGAGTAGAGAAGCTCTTCAACAGCTGCCCTCTCAAAACAGCACAGAATAAAGTTGAACCGTCTAAAATGGTCCTTGTGCTCTTGATGGCCTATTAGGCAACACTTTAAATGCCTTACATATACTGCCTTGATCTCATCCAGACCAGGCCTCCCTCTTCAAAGGCATTAATGAGTCTTTCCAACATGTAGATTAATACTAAGCCAGAAGTAATTAAAGTCAGTAGTAATTACAGGATTTTTTTTAAGGCAGCTTCATCTTCTCATGCCTTCAGCTCTGATGGCATCTGAGTGAGTCCGCCGCAGTGATCAATGTCTCTGGCCCGTTGCCTGACAGGGATCTTTTTTGCATTCTGTCCACAATTATGTAAAACTCCCTGCACTTCACTGTGTTTTATTCCTTTACTTATTTGAAATGCATATGGAAATACTTTATATAACAACTAGGCCTAGTTGTTTATTGGGAGCTGTTGTAGTCTATATTTTTTACTCTTTTATTTGTGGTGTTTAAATAAAAACTAGATTACAGACAGATGTGTGTTTTTGCCGTTTGTGTTTAGGTCTCTGTTGTGGAATTGCAAAGACGGGCTAGTCAGTAGATATCAAGATATGTGTTTTTACACCTTAAAGCATGATGCTGTACATGTTTTCTGACACGTCAACTCCTACAGTATTCCTGAGTGAAGCCAAGCTGCTGTCCTCCCACTTTTGAAAAATTATCCACTCCTTTGAAAAGAAAATTACAGCTCATAATACATATTTAGAAGCTGCTTTCTCCATCAAAACTATTGAAAGTCCACTTGAAGTTGTAAATGTCAGCAGAATCTTTCCAGTTGTCATAAGTTGTGATGCATTTGATAGGGCATAAGGTTTTTATTATACTTAATTTGGGTGTAAAGTATTGCAGAGTTTTTGAAATTTGGAGGAGAAAAGCATGAGATATTCGGCTGAAGCTTTGAGATGGCTAAAGGGGCGGGAGAGGAATGCACGGCTCTTATAGGCTGTTCATTTTCTTAGCTCCTCCTCCCCTGCAGCTGCCCCTCCTCTCCTCTTCCCTCTCTCCCTCAAATATTCCCCCTTCAGTCGTCACTGAAGCTTCAGGAACGAGTGGAAAATAGCCTCTGTCCCTTAAAATGGTGCTGGATTCGGCAGCCAATGAGTGGAGGGATGAGGGTTTAGAAGCCTAAAGGGGACGGGGTGGGGTTTGTAAGCAAGTGGGGTCTAGTTTCATTTTTTTCCCTGCTTGTCACTATTTTTAAAGGGCCTTTACTTGCTGGTGACCTCAGTGTTAGCATTTAGAGCCTCCGCCGTGGCACTGGAATGAAGGCAGATTATTATTAGTGTGTGTGTGTGATTAAGGAGAGGAGAACCGTGAGGGTCTTTGATGTTGTGCCGTGTGTTGGTGTAAAGCCTGTCCATAATCAGTTGTAATAGTCTGGACATTTAATTAAAGATCCCAAGTGTCATCCTGCACTGGGAGAAAGCCATTTTCCTAAAGGGTGTTCGGACATTCCCACCACCAGTGTCCTAATAAGTGTTATTGAACTTTGTGCCATATATAAACTGATCATCGATAACCAATATCATGGCCTATATATGTATCAATATATCTGTTCAAAAGTTTGGGGTCATTAGGATTTTTTAAAGAAAAGAATGAACACTTGAGCATGAATGCAATTAAATTTATCAAAAATGACAGTAAAGACATTTAAAATGTTGCAAAAAAAGTTTTTCAAATAAATGTCATGTTTTCCACAAAAATGTATTGAAGGATTTGTGAAGGATTATGAGACATTGATGACTGCAATTTAGTTTTGCCATCAAAGTAATAAATTGCATTTTAAAATATATTCAAATAAAAAAACTTATTTTAAATTGCAATAATATTTTACAATTTAACCGTTTGTTTGATCAAATAAATGCAGTCTTGGTGAACATAAGACTTCTTTCACAAACATAAAAAATATCATACTGCCCCCAAACTGTTGGACACTATTGTGCATGCATGTTTTGGTATATTAGTTTATATATTTTCATGTTACGGCGGGTAACCATAAAAATAAACATAAAATGGTTAAAGAGATCATTTAAGTGTTTTTCAATATAAAAAAATCTTTTGTCTAGTAACCGGTGTGGTATTATTGTAAATATCTGAAGTTTAATCAATCAAATCATTGAT